ACCTCAGCAGACACTCCCATGCAGAACTAGCCATTGTACCCAGCTGATGTTTCACCTAGATGCACCCTAACAAAGGGCTAGGAAGCAAGGGAATTAGTGAGATGCTATAATCTTTCCCCAAAGTGTTCCATGAACAAGTAAGGAAAAAAATGAATTCCCCTACTCTCATCACCAGTACAAAGTATCACTTTTTTGGGATAATCTCTAACAGAAAAATCAGGATGGGAGGGGGGAAAAAAAATCTCACAAATGACCCAAAAGCTGAGGGTTTATATGCTTTTAGAAGAAAAGTACCCTGAGTCCATATAATGGATTGCATTCTAAATTATCCAATTTTGATTTGAATTTTCTTAAATTAAAAAACCTTACACTGCAGAACTGTCTTATTGACATATTTAAAGATAAATCCTTTTTCAAGTTTTATATTTGCCACTCTAATTTCACAGAACGTCCCCTTTTTGAACTGGAATTATTATCCCCATCATGATCTAACAGAACAAAAGCTCTTAAACTACTTTTTTGAAACCATTCAATCATTCTGTGTATCTGCGCTATGTTTCATCATATTTATTGCTTTTCAAAAGGTGATCAATCTTCTTCAATTTCTATTTACCAGTTTTCCACTTCCATAGATCACTCTTTTAGCCTTTTCTCCAAATCTCCTCACTCTTCACCTTCCTTTTTACATGAGGTACTTAGCACTACATACACTGATGACATACTTACTATACGACAGCAAGACACTGCTTTTTACCATAGCATTTTATTTCCTACACTTTTCTCCATCATGTTTTATTTAACCCAACATTTCATTTACTCTGATTACAAGTATAAACACTTACGGATACCAGAAATTAACAGAGCTCTCAAAAACTAGTTTCCAAACACAGTCCTCTGCCTTGATTATATGCCTCCACGAATGTTTGAAAACTCTTATCATTTCAGGCCAAGCAGTCTTTTACTTTCCTCTCCTTCAGTGTGATTCCTTGCTTACGTCTCACCCAGTACAGTCCTCAACTCTGTCATATACCAATTAGACATCTTCTTAGGAAGAAAACCCCTGGTTTACGAGATAAAACAAAGGTGACTCCCCTAAACTACAGATAAGCGGACTTTTCACCATTAGGCCTTCAACGAGGAGCGATTTCTGCACAAGAAGAGGTATGTAACGTAATACAGTTGACCTGCCCTGGGAAAAATTAACATTTTAACAGAAAACAGAACACATGTAAATATAGAAGAGAAAAACATTTATAGACGAGAAGAACATTCTACATCCCATTTACTTTACAAGAACAATGGTAAATGTTAACACCCCTGAATTAATTACTAAAATATCCTACAATATGATAGATATCCTATTGCTCCTAAAGGGGTAAATACCTAGCCACAGCTAGATAAAAGTTTCCAAGAAAAAGGTGCCTCTGAAGATATCCAGCCCGAACTGTCTATGGCTATTTTTATTTGGAAGCTAAAAAACAAGAGAATCAAAGGTCTAAGACTTTCTCCTTTGACAATGAGGAAGATTATTGTAAAGTTTGTTTGATAGTGTGATTTTGGGAAGAACATAGAGTGATTCACCCAACTCTCCGTTCATAAACACTTTGCTGAAAAGAACAAATCATTTCTGAAAGTAATAAAAAACAGCTGAAGGCATTTGGGTGGTCTCCATTTCAGTCCTGAAGTATGGAACAGTGATTTTTGTCTAAATCCTATAACAATTTGTTTTCCTCCTTCAGTAAAGCCTCAAAATTTGCTGACAACAACAATGATAAAACCCACTGAACACTCCCACAACATTAGTCTGGGATTTTTTTTAGTAGCCTGATAACTTAAAAGTGCTTGATTCATCATATGCAGAGCAAGCTTATACACACAGTAGAGCCATATAGTTTTTGTAGACTGATCCTTTTTGATTCTCTAACAGTATTTTGAGGTTCATACGCTATCCCTTAAAGGTAGAAGTATACCATTAACAGAGAAGGATGCTGGACAGACTGCTGACATTTAAACTTCACTACCTTGCTTCCTAAATACACGGTTCTACTTTATTCCTTCACCACCTCTTCTGACTGAGCTGAGAAACACCAAGACCCATCAGAAGTTCATGTCTTGCTACATGTAGTGCTGCTTCATTGAAATGGTAGGCTAATACAAATCTGAGATTACAGGGACTTGCAAAATAGTGGTAGGCTGGAACCTCACATGAGGAAACTAACCAGTCAGGAACGCCAAAAACCTCCCCAAATTCAGTTTTGTATCCTTTATTATTTAAAATCACATATATGCAGAACACAGAAGCATGCTCAAAACCACACAAGGCAGTAACAGGAACATCCCTGTTTTTATAGTTCATCCAGAAGAACTATAAATATATAGATATAGATACACACACAGGAAAAGTGAAACAGTAAAGATGCATAGGTATGACAGAAATCACACTTGAGTAAGGTGTACCTAATCACACTGGAGTAACCATACATAGTTTTCAAGAGGAAAGTTCTTCTTCAGGAAAGGTCCTTGTAACAGAAGAAAGAGTCCCTTACCATTGCCTTCTATAGCGGATGAATAAGGAACCAAAAAGTGAGAGGTCACACACTTCCTCCATAAAGGTTGTTCGTTCTGGTTTCTGCTTTTCTATGGGGGCAGGGGGGAGTACAACCACTAAATAGTTCTTACAGACTTTCCAACCTTCAGTTACTGATACATCTGACTTTACAACTTGAGAGTGGCAAGTCAGTTACAGAAACATTTCCTTACTCAAACATGAAATTCTTCATCAAGCCTGAATTTAGAAGCCACTTAATAGTCCAAATTGATTTCAGTGATAGGTCCGGTACGCCTGCCACCCGTGCTTTCTTGCCCCCTCCAACTCTTACACCTACTTGCAGCAAATACACTTTGTGAGCTGCTTTCCCATATCATTTGCACCTGCTGCTCTTGGCAAACACCCAAGTAGGACATAAGAATACTCCCGTTCTTTCCACCATCCTGTCTCTCCTGAGACTTGTTGTGATGGATGCATTTCAGCAGGACAGGGATACTCCAGCTTTGAACTTTATCTCAGCACATTACTCTGTCTTGGCATTAAGCAAGATAATTTTTTCCTAAACCAACAATCTTGGTTTTGGTTTTTCTGAAGAATAGTCAAGTGCTTTAGCTAGAGAATGAAAACATAGAAGACTTGCACACAGAAATTAACATTCTATAACAGGCACTGAAAGTGAAAATCACTTCTTCTAAAAATATATACTCATTCCTCAATAAAGCATAACTTTATTCTGTATATGATTCCATGAGAAAGTAATTCATCATACTGAAAAAAATTAAGATAGAACGTTTCGTTTTTAAACGAGCATAACCACAGGTGAAGTGACCACAATGCATTACAGCTCTAAAAGATGCACTGAGCTACATTTTGTATTCCTTCCTTTCCATTTGTTTAATAACTAAAAGTATACTGGTGGCTCAATACTAAACCTGTTTTAGTTGCAGGACACTGGCTAACCTCCCTTCAGGCAAGGCTTTCAGTACTATACGTCCTTCAAAAGGTGTCAGAAAGAACCAAAGATAAAAAGAATACCATATAGTTTAGGTGATAAAATAGTTATTTCCTAAAGCACTAAAAAGACTAAGGACAAACTAAAGACAGTCTCTCCTTATCTTACACAGTTTTGTACCCTTGTTTAATAAGAGCATATGTAGTACAATTGTACTACATTTAAGTTTACGGTGTTTTGATTGCAATTTTGATATTAATTAGTAAGAATTAAGATGCATTGCTTCACAAACTGTGATAATAATTTCCTACGATGTCTAACTACACTATAAATATCAATCAAGTAAGTTAAAAAAAAAGAAAAAAGTAAGCTTGAATACTACTTACACTCAGTTTAATCTGATTAAGGACAAACCAATACCCACAAATATGATACTATAATAAGACAAAGACACATTTAATTAGCGAATATCACATCATAGGATGGTTTATACCCAGCTATTCTCTGTGTTTTCAAGAAAGGCAACAAGACCAATGATAATACATAACAGCAACAACAAATACAACAGAATTCTACAAATGACATTTAAAATTCATAGTAAGAGCCTGTTTGTTACACCAGCATGGTAAAGTAAGGAAGCAGAAGTGATTACAACTTTTTATTTCCACAATTTAAACAGTCTCTGAAGATACACAACATACATATTTTTAACATTGACACCATGCAGAAGTTTGCATTTCATTCAACTTTGATAACAACATGCAAATACACTTCATGAGAAAGTTAACAAATATTATCCAAGCGTAACTGTTTTGTTATTTGCCAATGTTATCAGTCTTCTACAAATACACATCCATATTTAAAATTTTATTAAAAAAAAAAAACTTTTATGTAAAAACATTTTGCAGTTCTGTATTAGCCAACTGTAGTGATAAAAATGAAGCATTAAGACTGAGCAAATAAGGACAAAATCTTAACTTGACTTCAGATGAGGATAAGCATCAAAAATAACCTTTCACTGTTGACGAACCACTAATAACTTTTATGGAAATTCTGAACACAAATAATTTCATTGGAGAACACGCCCACTGGAGTATACTCTCAGTGGCATTAAAGTAAGAAATGTTAAAAAAACAAATCAAACAGAAACAAAAATCGTCTATTTAAGAAGGAAAGTAGATAGAGAAAACTTTAGGGAAAGGACATATTCAAAATTTTCCATTCAAAGAACGCAAAATTAAAATGCTTCAGGTACCTAAGGCTGCCTGCATGTACTCAGTTAACCTGTGACAAACATGCAGCAGTTTACCACAATCATAAGGAGGTAAGCTACTTAGATATGCCATTGGAAAGAGGTGCTTGTTATGAAATTTCTGAGAGATAGTCCTACCTATGAAACCTCATCTCACCATATGTTATTCCTTCGTGTTCAGATAAATATAGCAACAAAAATTAGAATATTCTGCCAGAATATTAACTGTATTCTTTCAGCGTACCTACCTTACACATCCTGTTGCTGCTATGGCCAATAAGGCATTTCATCCATCTGAATTGCTGTTTTAAGGGGAAAAAATTGTCCAAATATCTCAGGAAATATATTTAGGAAAGGACAAAAATTATACTAAATGAGAAACACAGAGGTATGAATTTTAGAAAGCAGTAAATACTCAAATGATAATCTAATAAAGTGTGTTTATTCTAAACAGATCAAACACAAGGGTATTTCTGAGGCTTACCACACACAGTTCTTTAGATTAGAAATTACAGTCACACATATTTGAATCAATATTGCTAAAATAACTGACGAAGTTAACGCATTCCTGATTTGACAACTTATTTTTAAAATTCTGTCAGTTTCTAAAATTGTAACTTCAATAACATTTTTAGCTAAAATAACTTTCAGATGAACATGGTACTTTCACCACTTCATCATCCTCATGACCTGACAATATGCATCTCATTAGATGCGAATAAAAATCTAAAACCGTCACCATTTTCATATAAACATTGTAATGTATTAAACTACTTCCATAAATGACATATTACCTTAGCACATACAAATCCTTAATACCGCTCACGTCACAGATGAAGAACATTCAGTTGGTTTAATTCAGCATAATCACTGAACCTGTGCATTAAAAATATATATGAAAATCACTACATGTATCTAAAGTTTCATATAAGTCAGAAATATATCATCATTTGCTGTCACTGTCATTACTAGTGCCAATATTCTGAAAAATAAGATATAAAGGATGCATAGGAAACCAGTATTTCCTTCATGAATTCTTTGAAAAAAATTTTAATTACATAACTTTTTAATTAGTTATCTAAAAATCTATTACTTCAACACTCTGTGCAAAAGTTAAATAATATTTGAATCATACCATACACATTCCAATTTTCTTCTGATTCTTCCATTACCCAAGAAAAATCTTTTAATAATTATACTAACACTCAAGAATATTATATCAGACCATTACAAAAAATATTTTAAACTTGCAGCACCACTATAAGTCTTCTTCCTTCCTTCTCCTGATTCTTCAGAATCTTTAACCAACTTTAAGTTTGAAAGAAAAAAATCTGATTCTTTTAGCTACCAAAGGAGAAAAAGCTAGGCACCCATCCTTGAGAATTATACTTTGCTGTACATTAAAAAAAAAAAATTGGAGGAACAAGGAAAAGAAAAAAAAACAAACTTCACACAAAACTAGTATTAAAAATAACTACCTATTGCTACATTAAAAAAGAAGGAAGCTCAGTATTTTGTTTGCTGAAAAGGCCTGTTAAAAACATACAAAACTGCATATAGAGCCTACTGTGCTATAAGGGGGATATGCAGTCACCTCGTTTCTTCCTTGTTTTTCCTTTTTTGTTATGGAATAATTACATGAAAGACCATTATTAATGCCATATTACAAGTTCAAATAAATCAGTACACGCAAATCCAAGACTGTAATTTCTAAACTATGCCAGCTAAATTACACAGTATTTAAGGGCTCGGCTGTTGACTGAGACCTCTACACATGCTACACACATTTTAAAAAGTTTCAGCATGAAATAGTTAACGTGAAGAATAGAAGTGAGCAAAATGCAAAACAACTTGAGCAAAAAGCTGGCAAGAAAATATTTAGATGCATCATATAAATTAAGTCAGACATAGAATTAGGGAAGTCTTTCAGGAAAGCATGACTCCTGGACCCCAAAAAAGGGGCGAGGGGGAGTTTCTCCACACGCCACAATCAAATCCCCTACACCAAAGATACCTCTGCAGTCCCTCCTGAACCGTCTCTTGCACTGCTTTTGAACACTTAGCGCTTCATTTTCCCCAGTGCAGGCCACGTTAGAGCACGTATAACTTCTGCACGTTGGCACTAACGAAGCACACAACACAGGCCGAGCCCTAACGAAGTCATGAGCTGCCAGGCCTCGGCACCACAACTGCGCACAAACGCCACGTCCCCTTCTTTCGGTCGCTCCCGAACGACAGCACCTGCAGCCACACCACAG